CATCTGAGAATACCCTCACATGTTTAATCGCCTAGAGTAATGTTTAATCTGGGTACACCATACTCTAGTCAACTTGACACCTAGAAATAACATCGTAAGTCCAACCCTTGTCAATTTGGCACCCCCCTTAAACCATGCCTAGGCTCCTCTTAAAGACAATTACAACAATGTCATAATTCTGTCTGATGTGATAATTATCCTGTGCACATCCCAAAATGCATCAGTGCCTTCCTCAGAAGAGGAGGTAAAGTCCTTGAGTAATGTTTTCTCTTCTCAATATCCTGCAACTTAAATATCACTATGATATAAAATTAACAATACTTAAATACTGTGATGTAAAATCAGGGCATCTTACATTACATAATAAGGGAATAAGAGGAAAGAAAACATATTCATAGTAAAATAAGGAAATAGTCTTGACATTTACAGTTCTCATTTCTGTAACTGGTCACATGGTTGCAGCTAGTATTGTATAACTGCCTTCTTTCACTACCTGCTCTATATTGCCCTTCCCTTCCACAGGTACTTTAGTGGGTCATGTTTCTTTGCGTGGTGGGGTCACCCAAACCTTCATCCCTGAAGGGTCTGGGCCATTCGTAATCCTTCCTGGATTAGATTGTAATTTTTCATTGACCTTAGGCACAGGGTATGATAATAATAGGAGATACCCTAAATGATCCCCTATATCCCAGATAAATTCTTCCTAATCTACATTGTGGAGTTATAGTCCAATTTCCTTTGATAGGATCAGTCACCCCAGCCAGCACCATTACTTCCTACTTCGTCTATTGATTGAGAGGCATAAGGTTCCCAAAGTGGCCAGTAAGTCTTAACTTCCAGGTTTGTGGAATCATTGTATCCCTGGTGGAAGCACTCCTCCCTCTGGAACTAAGACCTCTGGACCAGCAGGGTATAAAGTCACAATGCAAACATTTTGCTGCTGAGTCACCAAGGGTAGTAGTAATGTTACTCTCATTTCCACCCCTTAATACCTGGATCTGTAAATCCTGATTGTGGGGAAAACAGCATCATATATTAATGCTGACTGAGAGCTGACATATTCATCCTCCTGGAGAATGTTGCCCCAGCCCTGCAAGGTATTGCCGTCTGGCTGACACTAACTGAGGCTTCATACAGCCATTTCACTGTTCTGACACCCAGCTGCTTTAGGATGTTAGGGAACGTGTAAGACTAGTGAGTTCCACGAGCACGGTCCCCTGCTGCATTACTTTACTTCTTTGAGGTAAATTCCTTGATCAGAAGCAGTGATGTGTGGAATACCATGACAGTGGATGAGGCATTCTGTAAGTCCATTGATGATAGTTTTCATAGAAGTATTGCATGCAAGGCAAATCTGTATACAGAGTAAATGTCTCTTCTAGTAAGAACAGGAACAAAATTCTGCCCCTTTCATGATGGAAGATGTCCAATGTAATCAGTCTGCCACCAAATAGCTGGCTGATCTCCCTCGGGAAATGGTGTTAGGTCAGGTGCTCGGTGTTGGTCTCTGCTCCTGTCAAATTGGACACTCAGCTCTGGTCAAAGCCCCAGTGAATGGAAGTCCAGGTTGATAAGCCCATGTATATCCTCCATCCCTGCCACTCCTTGTTCAGAAGTCCCTGTGACTCCTTGTTCAGCAGCCTACTGGGCAGTGACAGGGTGGCTGAGGAAACAGGCTGACAGGTATCCACAGAGTGGGTCGTCCTATACAGTTGATTTTTTATATCCCCTGTGGAGGTCACCCTTTGGCAAGCATTCACACAGAACATTAATCTCTTCACTTTTTTAGCCCATTCAGAGAAGTCTGTCTACATGTTTCTTTCCCAAATTTCTTTGCCACCAATTTTCCCTTCCTCTATATTAAACCAAGGAATGTCCAGCTTTCTAGTTCACTCACTGTGTCTGCATTTCAGCCAACCAAATGCTAGAGCCTTTTCCAACTCCCTAAGCTGCAGCACTAAATGCAGAGTCTTTGTTTAGTAGGCCCATATCAATATTAAGAACAGATGCCAATGAGAATACTTTTTGTTCAGTAAAAATGAATGTGGATATAAGGGATAGGGGTAATTGCTGTAGAGAAAAATTGATAATGCAGTGAAATTGACTTTGCGGAGTTAGATTCATTCTGAATACTTTAGTAAAGTGTATTAATGCTTGTATAATGTGTTTGTGTTAAGCATGGAATCAAAACTTATGCAGGCTGAAAACACCTACCCAGGCCAGGTGTAGGGATTGTAAAAATGCCCTCTGTGCGTTACAACTTAGTATGAAAGGTAACATAATATTAAATAATACCCACTGCACATGCTGTGAGCTAGTAGGGGTGGGGTATATGTAAGACTACTGCAGTAGTCTGAAGAGATGGGGGCATGAGTAAAAACAAGGACAATGAAGGTGGGAGAGGAGCAGACAAATCCGAGAGATATCTGGAAAAGAAAAAGATTTTGTTGTTGAATTATATGAGTTGAATAGAAAAGGGGAAGTTTTGACTTGGTCAGTTGTTAGATGGTGGGATCCTTAGCAGAATAGTGAATACATGTGGAGGAAAATGTGGGGAATTCAGTTTTGACATGTTGAACATGAGGTGAATATGAGGCCATCCAGATGGAGACCAGCAGAACTTGTGAAGATCTGGGCTGAAGATACGAACTTGAGAGTCATCACTCTCTATCCATGCATCTGTCTCATTCTCAGAGTTCCATCATGTTATGTTCCCTCCCTCCTCCTTCCTGTCCCAATCTCCTTCCCCTTTCCCCTTTTTACTATTTTCTCTGTTATTCCTTGGTGATTTTGTCCACTGTCTATAGAGACTGTATACAGACAGTACCTATTATTTATAGGCAGTGTCATACTGCCTATATATGCACATATAGACTGTATTAGACAGTGGGTGAAATCACAAGATTAATCTACAAAATAAGGTTAATGGGAAGATTGAGAGCACACAGTATTGAAACCCTGGGGACTACTGATTGATACATACCTGTAAACAAATACCTATATGAAGTAGTAGAATTGGCAGAGAAGACAGAAAAGATAGGCAGTAGAATCATGGAAGAATAACAGCTCAAAACCTAAGGGAGAAGGAAGTTTTAAGTGAGAGCATCAGTTGTGTTAAATTTCATAGACTGGTGAGGGTAAGAGCTAAATCAAAGGGCTTTCCATTGAATTTTTATATTGTTAATGGGTATTGATATCATTAGTGATTAGAGCAACTTCATCAGGGATAAGGACTAAATCTAGTTTGTAGTGGGTTGAGGAACAAATGGGAAGCATTAAAAAAGAAATGATGTGTACACTATAGAATTTATAATTTATCCCTTCAACAGTAGAGGACAATTAGAAGTTGTAAGTTTTATTGATGAAAACTTATTCCCAATATTAGTACAGTTTTTTGTGCTTGGTTTGATCAATTGGTTTATATCAGATCAATGATTCCCTTCATGCCATTTGGGTCTGATGGATGCCTAGGGATCTCCTAACAGAGTCTTAATGAACAAACCTGACCTGCAGTTGTCAGGGCTTTGGATTAAGGGCAAAAAAACTCTAGTATTACTCATAAAATAACTATGATCTCATTAAACAAAAGTTATGACACCCCTAGTTTGGATGTAGTCATTCCAAAGAGTGCCTTTTCCAAACTATTTGGTAAGGTAAGTATTTGCTAAGGTGATGTATCTGTTGCAGGTGTATTTTTATCCAAATATTGTTTTAATAGTATCAGAAAATTACTAGGAGAAAAAATGTGCAACATTGAATTAAAGTCCTCATTGCTTATTAATAAGTGAACTACTGTTCATTTAAAAATGACATCTTTTTGGATTACTGAGGTAAGGATAAGGGTGTATCATGTGCTTTAAGTATCTAATAGTTTTTAAGTAGAGTTTTACTTTGACATCTCTTTTGTTTCTCATGGATTGAAGAGTAAAAGGAACCATGGTTATGCTACTTCAGTAGGAGATTATTGTCTGACTATTTTGGAATCTTGACTAGTCATTTTTTCTTTACTACGTGAATTAAATATGAAATGATAGTTTACTTGAAGTCTTTTATAATGGTGAATTAGGTATCTTTTTGCTTTTTTAGAACAACTTTGTATAGAAACTAATTTAGAAAGGAGTTTCTTAAATGGCTGCATTGGTATTCACATTATAGAGAAGGAAAGAAAATGAAAAGGTTCCACTTCCATGGTTCATTTCGTGCAGCATCTGTTTTTTCTCTGCTTCCAACAATCACTTATCTTTAATTTTTTACACATATCTTTAAAGAGAAATCTGTATTTCTACAAATACATTTTTTGAGGGATTTAAGATGGTTTACATTATTGTGGATGCCTTGTTTTTCTATTAAAATAGAATTTTCAGTAAATGTGTACTTGTCCTCTGTAGTCTATAGTAGTGCTGTCCAATAGCAATGTAATGGGAGCAACATACACATTTTAAAATGCCATATTAAAAGGAGTAATTAGTAATTACAGATAAAATTAATGTTTTTGTTTAACTCAATGTATTCAAAATATTATTTCAACCTGTAATCAGCATAAAAATTAATAATGAGGTGTTTTACATTTTTATTTCATATTAAGTCTTTAAAATCCTGTTTGTATTTTATACTTATAGGCCTCTCTCAGGTTTGACTAGCCATAATTCAGCTCCTTGGTAGCCACATGTGGCCAATGGTTATGCTATTGTACAATAGAGAGTCAGAACAGATTCTTAGTATTTGGATGGATACATAGGTAAAAGGAGGTATTTGTCTTCTGTGAATTGGATTTGATTAGTGTAATAACCAACCCCCAATACCCAATAATATGATCATTTATATATATGTCAAATTTGGACTTGCTTATTCATTGGAATGTTAATTGGAGGAGATAAGCTAGAAATACTGGGTAAATGGAATTTTTACTGTTTGGTTGCTTGTAGTAACTATATTTTATAATTACATTTATTTTTTATTATTATACATGTGAAATTTCAGTATATGTCTATAACTTGTAGCATAAATGCAGTTCCATCTACAGTGAAGATTTTGTGCTACAGCTAGAGAAGGAGTTGGTCCAAGCCCGTCTGAGTGAAGCTGAGTCTCAGTGTGCACTCAAGGAGCTGCAGGATAAAGTCCTCGATATAGAGAAGGTGAGAACAACATGGATGCTCTCACTGCCAAATCAGAGGGGACATGTGATAAATATTACTGAGCAGTTAAATTGGACTTGGTGTTTTTACACATTAGGAACTTTCCAAATTAGGTACTAAGAGAGGAAAGAAAAAAATATAGAAGATTTCCAATTACTCTTTGTTATAGCCATACTACTCAAAACACCGTATTTAAGGAAATTAGAACCCTTATAGAGGAACACAACTAGGATAATTTTGATATGAATAATATTTAGTGTTGTTGAAGTAAAACTTAGGGGATAGAAATTAATCATTGTCTTCAAATATTATATCTTTATCTATAAGAGGCAGGATATGACTAAATCATAAACATTTCAGAGAAAATTTCATCTGAGTGTAACTGTTACATCTTAACCAAGCTACAACAAGCCAGCATAGGATATACAGGAAGATCTTAGTCTGAGATATACTTACTAAGGAACTTTAAGGATTAGGTAAGTAGTGAAAATAAAAACGCTTTTAGGTTTCTGAGAACACTTAGACTTGAGAGTCTGTGTTATAGATCTCACTCTGAATCTGTTTTTGCATCAATAAAATCATTGATGGCTTGAGTTCTGTGTTGAGTTTGTTCCTTTTACCCCTAGGTAGTATCTAGCTATTGAATCAAAAGCTCATAAATAATGGACATTGAGAGCCTCAAGTTGTTCTTAAGTATTTCTTAATGAATAGAGGAGATCATAACTACAATTACTAATGGAACGCTTTTGCTAGAAATCTGCTTGCTGTTTTTATATTATTTTTGGAAAAACTTGTTCTTTGTTGAGGAAAAAGCCAGTAAGAATGCTGTAAAAAATGCTTAATAGAATATTTGGTCTCTAACAGGTGTATTCCGGGCTCCATATTTAGATAAGAGTCTGGATCTTTCAGTTTTGAATATGTGGTAGAAAGAAATATCCTTGGATCCAATTTAAAAATGGATTTCTTAAGTAGCTTTGTTGGTATGCATATTGAAGAGTAGAAAGGAATTTGGAAGGTTTCGTGCTTCCTCTGATTAACTTCTTGTAGGATTCTCTTTTTGTGCAAATGTAGTAAATTTCTGATTTGTAATTAAGAAAATATTTGAAGTTCATCATAAAAATGTATAGTTGCAAGAATAATTTTATTGCATCATCTCTGTGGGCTAAAATCTTCATGTTCACCATGAAATATTTTAGAGATAGAAAATTTCATAGATTCAGGACTTGAAATCTCAATAGTACCTCAATTTACCTAAGGAGCTTCTACCAAGGCGTAATTTAGGATCTCTTGGTCACTCACAGACAGGGCTACCCTATATCCTCAGCTGTGTCTTTCAACATGGTAGGAGATTAATCTAAATTTTGTATCCTGGAAGCAAATATTTAGATCACTTTGGCATTAATTTCTTACTGGTGATATAAATAGTGACTAATGTACAGAGATTTTACACTCGTTTCCAAAGTGACATGCTGAGAAAATACATTAAAACAGATTTTCGACTATTCTTTTGCATAAATCTTTAAAATGTAAACCATGTTCATGCTTTGCTTGAAGTCCTAATCTGAGGTTAATAAATGTATTACCATGTTGAAAAACATTTTTAATCCTATTGCTCCTTAACTGGTTAGTATTTTATTAAACAAAGAAGAGTTAGACTTTCTGTGACCTCAAAATTACCTACAGTTATCCTCAGACATCCCTGGTGTGAGTGTAAAACAGTGCAGCCACTTTGGAAAAGTTTGACAGTTTTTTAAAAGTTATTTGTATAATTACCATCTGATACAGCAGTTCTGCTGTTTGGTATATACTCAAGAGAATTAAAAATATACATCCACACAAAAACGTTCACACAAATGTCCATAGCAGCATTATTCATAATAACCAAAAAGTTGGAGTAACCCAGATTTTCATCAGCTGATGAATGGATAAATAAAAGGTGGTATATAAATGCAATGAAATATTATTTGGCAATAAAAAATGATGAACCTTGAAAACATACTAAGTGAAAGGGGTTAGTCATAAAAGACCAATAGTGTATGTTTCCATTTATATGAAATATCCAGAGTAGGCAGATCCACAGAGATGGCAAGTGGATTAGTGGTTGCCAGAGCTGGGGGAAGAGGAATGTGGAGTGACCACTAATGAATATATGGTTTCATTTGGGGTGATTAAGATGTACTGAAATTGGATTATGGTGATGGTTGCACAACTCTGTAAACACTCTTAAAAACCTCTGGCTAGTATACATTAAAAGGGCAAGTTTTATGGTTTGTGAAATGTATCTCAAAATTACATAAAATTAAGTACAATTACATATGGGACAAAATAACTCTTACTATATATGCTGTATTTTAGTACTTGAAACTTAAAATCCTAAATTAATTTTTTTTTGCTTCAGAGAAATAACTCCTTTCCTGATGAGAATAACATTGCAAGGCTTCAGGAGGAACTCATTGCTGTGAAACTGAGAGAAGCAGAAGCTATTATGGGTTTGAAAGAACTTAGGCAACAAGTCAAAGATTTAGAGGAACACTGGCAGGTATATCAATATATTGTATGCTTTTTAAAAAGAGGGCAAAATCTGAACACACAATTTGTGTGAGTTTGAAGTACCCGATGACCAACACTAGAATTTGAGTTTAAAGTGGAAAAGGTACTGTTTAATGTATAAAACTAACACATTTGTTAAAGTATTTTCAAGCCATTTTCCCTTTATAATTCTTGCAATTAAGCAAGAGATAAAAGAGGGATCAAGTTGTATTTTTGTTGTTATACCATTGTGATTTATATAACTTTTCTCAACTATATGAAATTTTTCCTTTATATAATACATATTTCTTCTCCTGTTGATACTAAACCCATTGGTCAGTATGACACATTGGAAGGATGACACCAATATAAATTTGTCTGTATATTTGTAACTTTTGAAAATTGGTTACTTCACAAAATAAACCAGTTAGCTAGTTATATGCCCACAAAGTTTATTCACATATGAGGGAAATTGTTGACAAGGAACAAAAAACCAGAATCTGTAAGACAGAAGGGAGAGAGGGAGGGGGAAGAAACTACACATTATTACAGAGTAGTGATTTGAGTTTGAATTTGGGGTGGGGGATGCATCTAGTAAAGACAGAAATTAGTCCTTGACATTGCTATGGCTTTTTTTTTCTTCCATATAAAGGCAGTAATATAAACTGGAAATTAAAAATGAAACTGATCCTTCACCATGGATATTTTGAGAATGCTGCTGTTCCAATATTTCTTCCTTAATTCATGAATGGTCTCATTTTTTTCTTTTCTTGGTATTTCATTAAAAATAATGTGATAATTTCTCCTTAAAAAATTAGAGTGAGAATTTCATTTTTAATAATTAATCCATAGTGTAAAAAATTTGAGTTATATATGAGTTTGTAGCCCAGATCTGCCATTTACTAGTTGTGTGACTTTTCTGAAGTTTATCACAATTTCCATTTTCTTATTGATATAATGAAGATAATGCCTAATTTTAAGATGTGTATGAAGTACTTAATATAGTACTGGGCCTAAAATAAGTTCTCAGTAAAGTTAGCACTCACTTTGATACTAGGAATATTTATCACAATATGATTTTTTTGTTTCAGCGCCACTTAGCTCGTACTGCTGGGAGGTGGAAGGACCCTCCTAAGAAAAATGCTATGAATGAGTTGCAAGATGAACTAATGACCATTCGACTTAGGGAAGCTGAAACACAGGCAGAAATAAGAGAAACAAAACAAAGGATGATGGAAACGGAAACACAGGTATGATGGGAAAGCCTAGTAGCTTTAACCAATATCATTAGCAGATCAAAAGTTTATGCACAGATTGTACCATCCATAGAATATAGCTAAAAGGTGGACATAGGAAACTGTCTGCAATTTTCTAGCCCAAATGAAAAGGGCTAACAGTGGTATTCTTTGATATGAGAGATTTAATCATCTTTGACCCATTCAACAAAGTTTAAGCAATTCATAAAACTGTATTTGACTTGGTTGCCTTTATGCACAGCTTGAGGGAAAATATTCATGTTGAGCAAAATTTCTCCATCTTGACACTATTAACATTTTGGACCAGATGATGCTTTGTTGTGGGGTCTGGCCTGTGCTGTAGGATGCGAGCAGCATCCCTGGACCTCTGCCCACTCGAAGCCAGTCTCACCGCTGCCTGCCTCCCACCCGAATCCCAGCCAGGCTGTGGTGACCAAAAGCATCTCCACACATTGCAAAACGTCCCATCGGCAGCACAATTGCCCCTTGTTGATGGCCTCTGATGTAGAATATAATGTGAATGATGCTTTCTGAAGTTGTGTAATGTGACTCTGAACAGGTAATTCCAAAATTACACTTATTTCTTCTTGAGTCCCTGTCTTAAATATACTTGACTTAAAATCTGTAAACTCCTTTTTATGAAACCCATTTGCATTATAAAAATACATTTGGTTTTTATGTGTTAGATTTGTGTGGACTATATTTTGTATACTCTGTAATGTTATTTCATTTTCAAAATAGTCAGTAGGGGGCATAGTTAACTCATGTATCATTCTGTATACCTGTGTGTGAAATAGTCATCCCACTTTGAACATGCTAAATGAATATGTAAATCCTTTAGAGTAAATATGTCTTGTTTTACATTGTTCAAAGGTATTTCCATGTATTTTTCATTGTAATTAAAGATTAACAGTAAGATTATTGTAGAAATCTAGCTTTTATAATAGATAGTTTTATTTTTATAATCAGATTTTATCTCAGCATAGATACTAAAGGTGCAAACACAGTTTTTGAACCAGTGTTCAGGTTTTACTTTGAAGTTGTATGTAGATGAATGAATCAAATTCAGAAAACATGGTTTTGAGGAACTTTTGCATACAAAACACTGACCAGCCACCAAAGAACTTAGCAGTAGAGAAATCAGTCATGCACAAACTATATTTAATGTAATTCACTATATGAGGCAATAGATGTTAACTATAATTTATTGTGGTGATCATTTCCTAGTAAACATAATTCAAATCATTAAGCTCTATACCTTCAGCTTATACAGTGCTGTATGTCAATTACATCTCAGTAAAACTGGAAAAATAATTCAGAAATTTGGTAATTAAGAGAGTTAGCTGAAATTGCTATGGAGAAAAGCAGGGTAATATTATTTGAATGAGGTGGTTTAGTGAAAAGCTTCCTAGGAAATTTGTATTTGAATTGTGCCTGATTAGTGAATGTGATTTTGGGTGGATTTTACTGGAGGAGGGATGGTGTAAGGCACTGCTTCCTAAGTGGCAGTGCTTGAACTGGTGGTGACCCATGAAGTTTCATTGCAGAATGAGAAAAATAAATAAAACAGCATGCTGTAAGACTCTGAGGAGGTCCATTTAGTGACTATACCTTAGTCAATTGAGAACTCATACCTCTGAGATCTTTCCATATGCTGGTTTTCACTATTGCAGACAGCGCTGCTCTGAGCTACTTGTAACTGTCTCCTTGTGGGTATCTCTGAGTCTCTTCAGTGTAGAGGTTCTTCTGTTTTGTGTGTGCCACAAACCCCTGTGGCAATCTGGGGCCTATGTGCCCCTTCTCAAAATAATGTTTTTGAATGCATAAAATAAAATACATAAGATTGCAAAGAGAACCGGCTATATCGGGGTAAGTTACCAAAATACTGAAAACAGACAAGTTTGTGGTACAGGAAACACACACACAGAAAGATACACAACATATTCCCATTGCTGGATTCAGGTCTTTAATATTTTATATTTTTGTATGTGTTAGATTGTTCTATAATTTCCTTTTGTGGGGGACTCTTATCTGGTTTTGGTACCAAGGTTATACTAAGCTTGGTAAATGAGTTGGGCTGTATTTTCTTTTTCTGCTGTAAGAAATTTTATATATGTTTGGAATTACCAATTACTTGAATATTTGCTGAAATTTATTCCTATAAACAGTCCCGTTTTGTTTTATTTTCTGGGAATAGTTACTATTGATCCCAGTTGATGGGTTAAAGGTCTTTCAGATTTTCTGTTTCTTCTTAAATCTGGCTTGGTAAGATATGTTTCCCTAGGCAACTATCCATTTCATCCTAATTTTCAAATTTTTCACTTATGATTGTTGTTACAGTGAATTTATTACTTAGCATTTTTTATTCTTTGTTTCCATACTTTTTTGGCTTTCTTTGATTGCTTTGACTTAAGCTGTTTAGTAGTGTCTTTGATATTTCCAAATGTGTAAGTTTACTTCATCAGTAGTTCACAGCCTTATTTTGGTTTAATTGCATTGTGGTCACAGAATGTGGTCTGTTGAATTTTATTTATGTTAGATCAGACTTCTTCATTATACTGTTTGTATCTTCTGTGTCCGTGTGTGTGTGTGTGTGTGTGTGTGTGTGTGTGTGTGTTACCAGATCTTTGCAATTTTGAAAAAGGCTGAAAATATTCTGAGCCCCTTTTAGAAGGACATAAAAATTTATAATTGTTATATTTTTGTAGTAAAATGAATTTTGATATATTGACCCTTTTTATCCTTAAGGATGTTTTTTATTTAGTCTGTTTGTCTTATAGTTATGCAAGCTATTTATTGTTTAGTATTTTTCTTATGTATCTTCTTCCATCCTTTCAATATCAAACTGTTTAACCTGTTATCATGTCTGACAAACAGCATATACATGAATACTTTTTAGAACCCAGTCTGACAAATGGTCTTACACATATACTAAATACCACTGAATATGAATATACTAAATATATGAATATACTAAAAATCACTGAACTGCATGTACACTTTAGATTAATTTTATGATGTATGAATGTTTTCTTTTTTCAGCACTTTAAGTCACTCTTCTTGTAAGCAATCATTCAAGTCAGAATTCTGTTGTTAATTCTCATAAAAAATCCAGTCTCATAGTTTCTTCTAGCTGTCATATTCAGTCCATGTTTTGTGATTCTGTTTGGATTAATATCTGTCACCTTGCTAGCTATATTTTTGGTTCCATTTGTTCTTTTTTTTCTTTTCTACTTTCTCTTGGTTTTTTGGGGGCATTTATTGTGGTTCCACTTTATCTGCACAATTGATTTCTTTATTTATACAGCTGAAAAAAATTTAGTGGTTGCTTTCAGTTTTATAATATACATCTTTAATCAGAGCTTACCTGCAAATAATATTTTACCCTTCACACATAGAATAAGGTCCTTACACAGTATATTCCCAGTTCTTCCTCCCATCCTTTTGTGCTATTGTTTTCATGTATTTTACTTCTACATGTAGTACAGATATATGCGCTATTGGTTTTTGCTTCAGCCAATAAGTTATCTTTCAGGAAAATTTAAAAAAATTTTAATTAAGTATATTTTCTCTTCAGTTATTCCATTTAGCATTCTGGTTTTTTTTGTTTAGACCCATGTTTCAATCTGGTATTATATTCTTTCTGCATAAAGAAATTCCTGTAACGTTTTTTTTTACTGCTCAGCTGCTCGCAGTGGGTTCTCTTAGCAGTTTTTGTTTGAGAACATACTCTCCAATTTAAAAATATGTATTTGCTGGGTATTGATTTGTGAACTGTGGAGTTTTTTTCCTTCTTTTTTCAACACTTTAAGCTATTCTTTTTGTCAGCAACCATGCAGGTCAGAATTCTGTTGTAATTCTTATATTTGTTCCTCTGCACATAATCTGCTTTTTTTTCCCTCTGGCTGCCTTTATGATATGACTTGATTTTTTTTTTCCCTCTGAACTCTGGACCTGTTTGTGTCTTTCATGGGATTTGGAAAATTCTTGGTCATTATTTCTTCAAATATTTTTTCTGTCCCATACTCTTTTCTCCTCTTGGGATTCCACTTACACATACATTAGATCGTTTGATGTTGTCTGACAATTCATGAATGCTCCCTCTGTTCTTGTCTCCCGTTCTTTATTTTTTCTGTTTATGTTTCAGTTTCTAGTGACAGAAATATTTCTACTGACATATAATTATGTTTACTGGTTCTTTCTTCTACTTTGTGAGTTGTCTGATAAGCCATTGAGGACATTCTTCACATCTATTACTCTTTTTTTCAGGTCCAGCATTTCTATTTGATTCTTACAGTTTTCATTTCTCTGCTGATATTACCTATCTGATCTTACATGTTTTTCACCTTTTCCTTAGAGCCTTTAGTATATTAATCACAGTTATTTTAAATTCCATCAGATAATTTCTATGTCTTTATCGTGTATGAGGCCGGTTCTATTGATTGCTTTGTCTCTTGGTAGTGTTTTGTTTTTTTCTTTCTTTTAACTGCTTTGTAGTAATTTATTGAAAACTGGACATCTTATGTAAGACAGTAGACTAAGGCAAATAGTTTTTATTCCTGGAAATGGGTACCATTCCTTCTGCTAAGCCTTTAATGTGGGGGATTTAAGTTAATATAGTCAGGAGTTGAGCTGGGTTTGAGGTTTGTTTCTGTGGTTACCCTCATTGCACCACAGGCTTCAAATTCCTCTAGCATTATCTTTCTTTTAGATTGGGGGCTGGTTTGCCAAAGGGTTTTCTCAATGTCTGTAGGTCTTCCCTTTGCATGGCACTTGAGAGGTCAGTCTCTGACAGTATTCCACAATTATTTGTTACAGGAAGTTGAAGGGCAGTGTTCCCTATTATTCTGATAAAGCCTTTGTCTTAGGCTCAGTCATGTTCCTGGATCTGAGGTGTTTGGCCTTCTCAGTGCTTGTGCCCTACCCCCAGTTTCAGGCCTAGGTCCAGAATATACTCCTGCCCCTTCATCAAATGCAGTGCTTGCCCCAGTGCCCCAAGGACAACAGTGTTGTAGCCCTGAAACCTTTTGTGCCCTAGAGGAGACAGACAAGGCTTAGTGCCCTTCCTTTATTAGCTGCTGTTCTCTTCCGTCAGGCCTAATCCATGTAGATCTCTTTCTCAAGGCTCTCATTGGTCTTTTTTGTGTACCTGTTGGAGCTCATGAAGAAAAACAGTGCAAGAGCTGGTGGACTCTGCTGTCCGCCCTGGGCTATACACTTTCTAGCTAACCAACACTTGGCCTCCACCAATTTGATTTTATTTTAGCTGAATTATTTATAACAGCTTCTGGCTGCATCTGCCCTGTCACTCCTTAGATTTTGGGCTAGCTGATTGCCCTCTGACCTCACCTTTCTGGTTTCAACAAAAATCATGAACTTAAGAGTTTGGCTGGCCTTTTTTTCTTCTTTTAATTGAAAAGGTAAGAACAATGCTCTTTCAGACTTTACAGTCCTATCAGAAATCAAGTCTTTACTATGATGTATTTGAAATTGTTTTATTTTGTCCTTTCAATTTCTTACTTTTTTTCTTGCTTTTCCTTGAATTAATGTAGATTTTTATATTAGTTTGATTTTTATAATTCCTTTCTTTTCTGTTAGTGTTTATTACCTGAAAAAATTATAATGCTTACCTGACTGAACAAAGTCTTGAGTTAGTAATTATCTCCATCTTCTAAACTGTTAGAGCCTTAGGAGAACTTCCTGTGCTCATCTTCCATCCTTCCCCTGTTACTGTTATTGTTCTTTTTTTTTATACCTCCAAAATTATTAGGCATTATTGTTGTTTTATGGAGTCAGTGCCTGTTTGGATTTGTTTACCTGTTTACCAATTTTTTACTCTTTTTTCTTTTATTGAGCAATTTCTTTCTGGTTCCAATCATGAGTTCTAAATTCTCTCACTTCCTTAAATGTACTTTCTTCTCACTGAGTATACTCTTGTAGAATGAAGTTTATTTAAGCATTATAAGTTTTTCTTATTGAGATATCTGCTGGATATTTTACTTTCTTCCTTCTCAGATACTCACTTTTGCCCTTGATTTGCCTCTTCTTTCCTTTTAACATTCTAAGTTTTGTTACTATGTATCTTGGTGAGGATTTATTTGTATTTACCCTGTTTGGGACTAAGTACTGCTTCCTGAACTGTGAATTCACGTGTAGTGGTTTTTTGGTTTGGTTTTTTTTTTTTTTCAGTTGTAAAAAATTCTCAACTGTTATCTCTTACATCACATCTGAGCTTTACCCCCACCCTGTTTTATCCTGCAACCCCTATTTGGTATGTTTTGTACCTCCTTATCCTCTTTTCTATCTCTCTTGACCTCTTCTAAGACACTAATTATTTTTTCAATGTATCTAATCTCCTATTTGATATTTTAATTGGATTTTCAATATCTATGTTAATTTCTTTAAATTGTATTTGGTTTCACATTTGCTGAATGTTTTTTGACAGTGACTATTCTTTGCTTATGTTTTTGTTTCCTCTTTTAATGACTAATTATTGTAAATATAAATTATTTAATATGAAGTCCTTATGATTTTTATCTAGAGTTCTAAAAATCTATTCTTGCTGTCTTTTTGTCTAATATTCCTGAGCATTGTTTAATCAATTCCTGAGCATTGTTTATTTGTGAATGTTTTATAATTTTGGATCATGGACTTGTATTCAGGAGTTCAGGGAGGAGTTCTGTCTGGGAATTCTTTGCAGCTTTTGTTGAAGGTGTGTCCCTCTGAAGTGTACTTATTTTAATAGTAGCAGGTAAGACAATAAAAAGTTGTGGAACATTTGGAATACATTACCAAGAAGGTCAGTTATTATAGACAGACAGTGTTCATTGATTGAAATTAAGAAAGAAGAATAATACAGAGGATAGCCTTAGAAAGGAGACATTTTTTCTGAGAGTCAGGAAGTAAACCTGAAGATGAAGAAACCAGGAAGTGGTAGAAAGTTTTGTTGCTTAAATCAGTTAGATGATGCAGATTTTTTTCTTAAAACTGGAGGCAGGGTCATTTTTGTAGAGTAAGGTAAACAGATATAATAATACCAACAATGGAGCATTTATTAACTATTAAATTTCAGGTGTTGTCTGAGACTCCTTTCATAAAGTTTTCTCCTATGATTCTCACAGCACAGCCTTCAAAGTCAAGTAATCATCTGTGCTTGTCCATGTACTGAATTTGATGGAATTAGATAACTTGATGAAGGCTGAAGAACTGTTAAATGAGGAACCAGACTTCACTTGTCTTTTGTTATGAAAATCTCTACTGTTTTATTAGAATAATTTGGGGCTGAGAAATTTCAGGCTGGGTCAAGCCTGAATGAAAAAATTATTTTTTTTTGGTATCATTAGTATATACTTACATGAACAGTGGTTACTAGATTCCCCCCATTATCAAGTCCCCACCACATACCCTATTATAGTGTCTGTCCATCAGGATAGCCTTAGAATCACTACTTGTCTTCTCTGTACTATACTACCTTCCCCGTGCCCCACCCCCATATTATGTGTACTAATCATAATGTCCCTTTTTCCCCTTATCCCTCCCTTCCCACCTATCCTCCCCAGTCCCTTTCCCTTTGGTAACTGTTAGTCCATTCTTGGGTTCTGTGAGTCTGCTGCTGTTTTGTTCCTTCAGTTTTTGCTTTGTTCTTATATTCCACAGATGAGTGAAATCATTTGATACTTGTCTTTCTCTGCCTGGCTTATTTCACTGAGCATAATACACTCTAGCTCCATCCATCTTGTTGCAAATGGTAGAATTTGTTTTCTTCTTATGGCTGAGTAATATTCCATGTGTATGTGTACCACATCTTCCTTATCCATTCATCTACTGATGGACACTTAGGTTGCTTCCATTTCTTGGCTATTGTAAATAGTGCTGCAATAAACATAGGGGTGTATCTGTCTTTTTCAAACTGGGCTCCTGCATTCTTACGGTAAATTCCTAGGAGGGGAATTCCTGGGTCAAATGATGTTTCTATTTTGAGTTTTTTGAGGAACCTCCATACTGCTTTCCACAATGGTTGAACTTATTTACATTCCCACCAGCAGTGTAGGAGGGTTCCCCTTTCTCCACATCCTCGCCAATATTTGTCATTGTTTGTCTTTTGGATGGTGGCCATCCTAACTGGTGTGAGATGATATCTGGTCTGTGTATTTTTTGCCATGTCCTATAATTATAATACATTAAGTATCTAGCACTTACTGAGTTCTTACTGAATATTAAGGTTTTTTACATGTATTATCTCATTTAATTCTGAAGACAACCAAATGAGAAATAGGTAGTATTTTTACATACATTTTTCAAGTGAGGAAATAGAGACTCAGAGATGTTAACTAGTTTCCTTAATCACCAAATAGCAAGGTAGAATTCAAAACCAGTCTGTGCGCTCCATAAAAACAGACCATTCTATACATGGAGGAATGTGAAGTGCGCATGCCACATTCATGACATCATGGAGTTTACAGTACAGTAAATGGTAATCATACCTTTTGATCAGTCTGTGCTTTCCTTCTAGAAACTAAAAAGGGGCATTAGATTCATCATATTACTGAATCTACCCATTTTTTTTAACCACATTGCCACATTACCTATTTCAGAAAATACCTTCAAGTTCTGTGGGAACATCCTTATGGTTTACAGATATTTATTGTATAAATAGTAAATTGATCGATAATGAGAGTTTCTAACATGGACCTTATATATTCTTTTGGATGACTTGATTTTTAACCAAGCAGTTTTATAAATCTTTTTTTTAAATTTAACTGTTTGTTGAATAAAATTGACTTATAAGTAATAACATTTCTTTGTAGTGTTGTTGTGGCATAACATTATTGGTAGAAACTTACTAGTTGTTTCAGGTCTTTTTACTATAGTCTGAGTATTTATATTTTTAATTATTAGAACCAGATCAATAGTAACCATCTTCGAAGAGCAGAACAAGAGGTGATCAGTCTACATGAGAAAGTACAATATCTTTCTGCACAGAATAAAGGACTGCTTACTCAGTTAAATGAAGCAAAGCGCAAACAAGCAGAGATTGAATGCAAGGTAAATATACCACTAGCTAGTTGTTTTTGTTAACGTAATAATGGTTTTTATGCTTTTTTTGCCCTATCATTATCTTAAAACCAAAAAAAAGCTAGTCTTATTTTCCACTTTTCCTGAACTTGGTTTGGTGGTTGCTTTTAGAAAGGTTAGTTCATCTTTCTCTGGAGTGGATTTCGAGCAGGAAACCTCATCTTCAATCACTTGGTTAAATACCAATGCAGAAAATTAAGTTAACCAAGTGATTGAAAATTGGTATCTCTGATAATTTTTATTTTGACTTGTAGCCCTTTAAAGCCAGAGCTTCTAGTCTCAATCAAAATGATAGGTAATTTAGAAAGGTAAGGATAACTCTTCTTTGATCAGTACCTTATCAGTAGGCAGTCAATATTGATATGTTTTCTAGATATAGAGAACAAAAGAAATATGTGTGTACCCAGTGGGTTGCAAAAACAGTGTCCATTTCCCATTATTATTTTAATCAGGTTTTTAATTTTTTTGTGGTGTTTGGATTCATAAAACAAAAATTACATTCAAATAAAATTAATTTATAGCAATGATAAAAGAGGGGGGCTAGGGAGTGGGATGAAAGGAGAGGGTAGGGTGTGTGTGTATGTGAAATAACTAAAGAGGTAACTGTAGTCTGAGCATTAGAATGAATTACTAAGGCCAAGTTATAGGCTATTAAAAAAAAAAAACATCCATCTTTCCATAGTGAGATCATAGGAATGATACCTTTAAAGATTCCAGCCTTATTATTCTGTGATAAGAAACAAGACTTTCAATGGTACGTATAAAGCTGTAATTCCATCAACTTGATCTGGTGTCATTAAAAACCAAGAATGAAGCATGAGTGGTTTATCAGTGACACTGAAATCCAGAGATGAAATTACATCCTAATAAATATTCATGGCTATTAAAATTTACACTAACAGAAATCTGTAGAAGTACTGAAATTTGTCCTAACTTAAGAGTAGTCCCTCTTGAAGGGTATGATTAGATTAATTTAAAAATAAAATATGAAATGAAATTATGAGTTTAGTTTGTAAAGCTAATATTTGGTTGAGTTTTTATGATACATTGTGCTTATTTTTAATAAAGAACTGAATTTAATCTTTTTCATTATTGGGATAAATTTTCCTTTAACATATGTTGACAACTAGATGTTAATATTGCTCCTCAAATCCTTCACACCTTTTAATCAAAGTAAAGTTTTCCTTGGAAATAAATATTGGTGCATTTTGCTGATGAAAATTGTTTTCTTTAAATTTGTTAAGTAATGGGCTCAGACTCAGAATTTTAGGGAATTTTAAGAGCTGGTATGAGATTTTATTTAATTTTTAATTGTTCATTACTACCTCTGTCAAGTATGTTACAGATGCTGACTCTGATATCTCCTCCTTGTTAAGCTTTATAGCGATTTATTCAGTCTTTTGTAATGCCTTTTGCAGATTTCAAGAATGATATCTGTGTTGTCACCCTAGCAACCTAGTACTTTCTGACTGAGTGTATTTTACCTTGTTATGTGAGAAAAACTTGGAAACAAACCTTACTTTTTCAAGGAAGCTGATACTTCAATTATATAATATAAATCTGATTCATTTAGTCTTATATGACTATATATTATGATTTCTTGATAAGAAATAAAGCTTATTTTTCATTTATGTAAAATGTCAGGATACTGTTTTTAATATTAACATTGTTTTCCCTCAGTAACTGAATTTGAATATTCCCACTTAAAGATGAAATAGTAAAGTCTATGTTCCCCACTATGAAAATTTAGAACACTCTGAAATGCAAATGTTTTTTCTATGTTTCGCACAAATTCACTTGGAAGCAAAACCTGACTTGAATTGCTGTATGGCCATTTATAATTTTTACTTATCCCATCTGATATAGGTATTTATACTTCACTACTTTATTGTGTTGAGCATTAAGCATACTGTTTCACTATGGATGCTGTCTCAGATCCTGCTGACTATAATACTAATGGCTTATGCCCTTTATTACTTTTCTAAGATCTAAAATATCTGAAATTCCATAACACACCAGGTCCCTAGGATTTCAGTAATGAGACTGTAGGATTCCTTATGTAAATCTAAATTTGAAGATTATAGAAAGATTTTATATTCTCTGGTTCTATATAAAGAGATACATATATGTCCATGATAAAAGGTTCTTTTACAAACTTATAAAATTGTGTGATAAATACTGTTGATAAAGTCAGAGTATTTTACTATGATTATAATATTGTGCATGTATGGAATAGTGATGGAAGGAAACAGGAAGAATTGAAATCTGTTGCTTATATTTAATGTAAATATTAATAGCTTAATACAAACACTTTTTTTCATAATGTTTTGATTTTTTTGACTGAGTAAAAATGAAAGCATTGCTTGCACTCCTGTCCTCTTTTATCTCATTCTCTTCCTGAGCCTACCACCTACTCCTTTTATTTTTTCCCAGGTAATTGCTTTTATTATTTCCTAGTATGTCCTTTTGGAATTTCTTTTAGGCAAATAACTAGTGAGTAAAATGATATTATTTTTCTTCTCACTTTATTACATGAAAGTTAGCATACTATATCTTCTGCATTTTGCTTTTTTCATCACTATATTTTGGAGAGCTTTTAATACCAGTGCTTTAAGAGTCTTCTCATTAGTTTCTAATTTACATTGCTTTCCATTGCATGAATATACCTTAGTATACTTAACTAGTTCCTCATTGATAAGCATGTGAGTTGTTCCAGTATTTTGCTGCTGTAAGCAGTATGTAGTGAATAACCATGTATGCACACTAACTTCAGACACATAATGGCATATGTACACATTCCTATAGGATAAATTCTAATTTGGTCAATGAATAAGTAGATCTGTACTTTTCATAGATTTTTTTCAAGTTACCCTCCTTAAGGTTGTATCATTTTGTACTTTGAGAAGCAGGACATGATGGTACCTGTGTTTTTCATTGTATTAACAAAATATGTAGCCAAGTCTTTTCATTTTAAGTAGAATTTTCATATTCTAGGACAGTGATTCTCAAATAGGGATGGAAAGAGGTGAGCTTTCAGAGAATTATAGTGTCACAAAACAGCAGCAGACTCATAGACACTGAGAAGTGACTAGTCATTACCAAGGGGGAGGGAATGGGGCAGGCATGGGGGAAGGGTGAGGGGGGTAAAGTGCCACAATAATTCGCAATCACAATGTAAGTTGGTCACGGGATAGTAGTACAGCCTGGAGAATATAGTCATTGATTCTGTAACATCTTTCTATGTTGATAGATAGTAACCTCACTAGAAGGAGTGAGGATTTAATAATATGGTTAACTGTTGAACCACTGTGTTATACATTTGGAACCAATATAAAATTGTACATCAATCAATATAAGATTGTATATCAACAATACAAAAATGATAATGTCTGCTTTACATGTTTATCAAATATTTGGATGTCTTCTATTTGTCAGTTACTATTATAGGCATTGGGAATAGAGTAGTGAAGAAGGTGGGCACCATGTTTAGTGAGCCAGTAAGTAAAAAGCAGATAAGGTCATTAATAATGATATACTGTAAAGTGGAAGGTAAGGGGAAATGGTAATTAAGATTGAGTTCCAGGAGCTGGTACCAGAACTGGGACCTGAAGAATAAGAATGGACCATCTCCTGAAGGAAAGAGTATCAAAGAATTGTAGACATACATTAAATCACCAAAATAATTAATAACTATTTGAGAGAACTATTTTGAGGCTATAAAAATGTCCTTAAAGTTTCAGCAACTAATTTTACCAATTATTTGGGGATAGACATGCCATTGTTGGAGATAGATTTGAGGTAATATTAGAGAGAGATTTGATGTGATATCATCAGGTAATAGTACAGGACAGAGGTGCTTGTTTGGGCTCAGGTATTGCAATGTAATTAAAGAGAAGTAGATTCATTCAGTGTCTATTTTTGTAGAGAACCAATAAGTCTTGGTGATTAAATTGCAGAGGGGGTAGATTATGAGAAAATGCCCAGATTCTTGGCTTTTTACTTGATTGATGTAATTTTTTAATTAATTAATTAATTTTATTTTATTTTATTAAGGTATCATTGATATATACTCTTATGAAGGTTTCACATGAGAAACAATGTGATTACTACATTCATCCATATTATCAAGTCCGTGTATACCCCATTGAAGTCACTGCATCAGTGTAGTAAGATGCCAGTCACTACTTGTCTTCTCTGTGCTACACTGTCTTCCCCATGACCCCACACACATCACGTGTGTACCAATCATAATACCCCTCAATGACTGATATAATTTTTAATACAATGTTAACTAAAATTAGAGTAAAAGTTATCTATTGCTATTTAACAAACTACCTCTAAAACTAAGTGGCTTAAAATAGCAGTAAGCACTAATATCCCAGAGTTTCTGTGGGTCAGAATTCAGGAGCAGCTTATCCAAGTAGTTCTGGTTTAGAGCTTCTCGTGAGACTGCAGTCATTTGAAAGCTTAACTGAAGCCAGAGGATAAGGTTTTTCAAGTGCTTCACTCACACAGTTGCAAGTTGGTGCTGGCTTTAGAGAGAGCACTTTCTCTCAGTAAAGGCTGTGAACAAGTGAACACACAATCACAATAAAGTCTGAGTAGTGCTGTGATGAGGAAGAGGTACCTAGGACCCTGTAGTGGCAGTTTAGTGTTAGAATAATAGTGCAAGGAAAGCTAACTAAGCAATGATTAAGCTGAGACCTAAGGATTTGTAGGAGTTAGTGAAGGAAAGGCAACAGACAATTTACTAGGCAAAGAGAATAGCATGTAGAAAAGAAGAGCAGAAGTGAGAAAGAACAGGTTGTTTGAACTGAAAGTTCATTCTAGCCAGAGGGGAGTGTGGTGCAGAACACTGGTAAGATATGAAGCTATAGCAGTGCATAGGGAACCAAATCGTACGGAATCTTGGACACCAGAATAAGGACCACAGACATTATCTCAAGATTTATGGGTTGTCATTAAAGTGT